AAAAACAAAGTGACAGTGGAACCAGGCAGAGATCAGCCTGATAGGATGATGACAGGTGAGAGGAATGGGCTAGAGTCTGAAGGAAGCATCTGATAATTAAAACATACATGGGGTGCCCAGCCCGTGTGGCTTAGTGGTTGAGCGTCAACCTATGAACCAGGAGGTCAAGGTTTGATTCCTAGTCAGGGCACATGCCTGGGTTGTGGGCTTCGTTCCCAGTGGGTGGCATGCAGGAGGCGGCTAATCGATGATTCTCTCTCATCATTGATGTTTCTATCTCTCTCTCCCTCTCCTTTCCTCTCTGAAATCAATAAAAACATTAAATAAAAAAACATACATGGAGAGTATAAAATCCAGATCACAGCAGGCTCCCAGAGCACAGTGATCTTTTCAGAGGGAAAGTTAATATGCAACATGTGAGTGAAAGCCAAGTGCAAAAATATTATGCCATGAACAGGTGAGGCAATGTTTATTTTCCAGATGGGATGATTCTCAGTAATGATGAATGATAGTAAATAAAATAATAACAGCAGTGCCTAGCGATTATGCCCAGCACTCCTCTCCCAAGGCATGGGTGACAGCAACTCTAACCATGCAGAACAGCTTAAAACAGAACCCACCAGTCCTCTCTGGGGAAGCAGGAAGCAGGAAGCAGGAAGCAGGCGCTGTACTGAGTGTGATAAGAACTTGATAAGAACCAGGTAACAAGAGCCCTTACTTAAAGCAGGTGCTACTAGTAAGTCTGCATGGAAGAGCTGCAGCTGAAGGATCTCAGTTGTGCCCTGGAAACTTTAAAGAGCTCGGTGAGATAAAAGACCAGGGTTCCTCCCCAGCCAGCCCACTGCGGAGAAAGGAGTTCTCCCTGGTGGGCAGTCCAACAAGCATTCAAGTTTCTCTTGCCTGGAAAATCAGTGACCAGAGTCCAGCCAGAATCTGCACTCCTTTCTGAGAGTCAGCATATCAGCTTCCAACTTTAAAACCGAAAGCATTGCCTTCGTTGTCCACGCAGCTGAGGTGTGTTTCTAGGGAATGCTGAGATGTGCACTAGACCAGCAGTCGCCAGCCTTTTGGACCTCACGGACCACCAGTGGTCCACGAACTAGACTGTAGCCATGGGGCAGAGTCAGGCCCAGGTTCAGGACACCCTATAGTAAGATAAGAGGCTGTCAATGAGGTGAATGAGTGAATGAATGAATCATAGTTATCAAAGCTGGGGGACTCCCAAGCAATAATAAGGGCAAGTCACAGTCAAAAAGTCAGACACACCCTAGCCGCTTTGGCTCAGTGGATAGAGCGTGGGCCTGCACTAAAGGGTCCTGGGTTCAATTCTGGTCAAGGGCACGTGCCTGGGTTTCGGGCTCAATCCCCAGTAGGGGGTGTGCAGGAGGCAGCTGATCAATGATTCTCTCTCGTCATTGATGTTTCTATCTCTCTCTCCCTCTTCCTTCCTCTCTGAAATCAATAAAAAAATATATATATATTTTTTAAAGTCAGACACCAGGAAGCTAACAAACACAGGGACAGGTATGAAACTCAGTTTGGAAAAGGAATTATTCATGTCATTACATGTTTACATAAAAACCACATGTGTGGTACAATATAGATGTGTTCTTGCAGAATGTACCATATATAGTTATATTCAGTGGGATTATTTTTCTGACCAAAAAGCTTCACAGGCCCACTTCATCACACGTCAGATTTCTGCAAGTCTGTCTGATCCAACTATAAAGAGAGCTTATCTTTCTATTTGAAATAAATCAACACAGAGGCCACTGACTCTGTGCAATCACAGTAAAAAAAAAAAAAAAGAAAGTTTAATTATTAGCATGAACTTTACCATTTCCTTTGCAATGCCAGTTTTATTTTATTTTCCATTTTTGTAGGCTGGGAGGTAAATGAATAGAGCAATGGTTTCTAGCCAATTGTCTCCCAAGCCCATGTTTCAAAGTCCCAACGTTTAATTAACAGAACAGGGAAGCTGTCCTGAACTGAACTCATTGACATGCAATGCCAGTTTTAAGTGGAAATATAAATTTAACTCATATGTAAAATCACCTAAATTATGCTAATTTATATTGCATAGCTCATCCGCAGAGGTACCTCAAAGCCAGCCAGAAGAGACAAATTCAAGCCAGACTCAAGAAGGTTGGAATGAGGAACAGAGGGTGTCCCCTGCCTGCATCCAACTCAACAGAGAGCTCCTTTGGACACAAGGATACTCATGGGAAAAGTGCAGATGCTCACAGGGGAAGGGGGGGGGGCATTCTGCAGCAAGTAAACGCTCAGGCCTGACAGCTGCTGAGTTTTGCCTTGAAACCACCAACTAGACCAAGGCCGTGGGGGAGGTAGAGCCAAGGATCTCCCCTGCCAGTTGGCCAGTCATAGCAACCCACGGTACATGAGGGATGCCCAAGGGTCTTTAAAATTCCACACCTGGACATACTAGGTACTCAGACTGGGGGTGAGTTAGAGGCTGACTTACCAAAAATGCCAGCATGCTACCAGAATGGAGGTGGCCACCACCACTACTGCCCACAACACTGCGAGACACAAGTACCTGACTCCAACCCCCCTGAGCTACCTACATCCCCATAGGAGGTAAAAGGTGACAGCAACATGGGCTTCCTCCTCCCCAACATCACCCAGCTACCACCTCAGGTGAAGGGCAGCAGTGGACCCGGGGCAGGGCCCGGGAGGTAGGGAGGCAGAAGGGCACATGAGCCAAGGCCCCAAACCCTGAGCACAGGCTCCATTATCCCATCGGGCTTCATTTACAAAACAAGATCAAATATAAAATTCTTTAGAATTTTAAGATTCTGACAGGAAAGAATTAAACCAAGGATGAGACCCTTCTGAGCACAGAACCCTGCATGAGTGCATAGGAAGCTGGCCCTACCTGGTTCTCAGCTATAATATGAAAATCAAAGAAAAGGCGGTTAGTCTGTAGCTTCCCACAGAGTTGCTCTAAATGCGAATAGAAAAATAACGTAGTTTCTCTAAAAACTATGTTCCTCCAAATACAGTGAAATCTTGATAATGCTGGTGCCATAGAACTAAACTCATGCAGGCCTCCAGGGGAACCAGGTGCAGCTCCAACGGGGGGTGGGAAGCATGTGGGTCATTATTTTTACAGGTGACATTATTTGACACGTGGCTCATTTAAACTGGAGTTTTAAGATCACGTGACAATACACATTCCAAATATACTTTGAATGAACAAATAACAGAAATATTTGACAAAACACTCTGTATTTTTCCATCAGAGAAATAAAATTCCTATTTGCCTCATTTCCACATGCACACATTTAAAAAATAATTCCCCAAGAAATAAGCTTTCTTTCAGAGCAGTTCACTGTATACCAGAAGTCCTGAAGAATAAAAATAACCCTGACACCCTCAATCACATTTGATAGTGATTAAACACTATCAAATCAATTATTGTTTTAAAAATCTCACATTGACCACTCAACAGTGATTGAGACAATCCTAGTATCTTGTTCAAATACTAATAATCAGCATTATGACATGCTGTTCATTGCCTTTTTAAAAAGCCTGTCAAATAAGGGGGTGGAAGCCCGGCCCATGTGGCTCAGTGGTTGAGCATGGGCACATGCCTGGGCTCGATTCCCAGTCGGGGGCGTGCAGGAGCAGCCGATTGATGTTTCTCTCTCATCGATGTTTCTCTCTCTCAATCCCTCTCCTTTCCTCTCTATAAAATTAATAAAAAAATATTTTTAAAAAATAAGGGGACAGGAGTGGGGAGGAGGAGGTCAATGGGGGGAAAATTATAATAATTTCAATAATAAGGACAATTTTTACAAAAAGAAAACTAGTCCAACAAGTTGTGTGTGTGTGTGTGTGTATTTTTTAGTGGTACTCAGTGCTGGTAAGGCAAATCGTGTCAACCACTGTTGATGGGAATGAAAATTATTACAGTCCCTTTTGAAAAACAACTTGGGAGTAGATTTTATGAGGCCTAAAATGTTCATTCCTTTGTTTCACTGACCTTAAAGAAATAATTTGGAAAGTGGCAAATATTTACATACAAAGATTGTCACAACAGCATTATTAATATTAGCAAATAAGTAGCAAACATTAGGAAAATGTTTAAATGGGGTTTTGTACATCTGCATAATAGACTGTCATAGAGTCATTATCAATTATGATTATAAATTATGAAGAATCTTTAATGAAGTGATAAAATGCTTATGACAGACTGTAAAGTTAAAAAGACTTAGTGCATAAAACTATATATTCTGTATGGTATCTGTAGTTACCTATGCTTAAGTATTGATTGAGAGATTCATTGGGAAAACACTGAAAGATAAAAAGACTAAAAAACTAAAACTAAAAAACAAAAATTAAAAAGGTGGTCAAATAACTTACAGCACCTACTGGCTCAGCATAGATTAAAGTCATTGGAACCAGTGCTTAAAGTGGTCCATGGAGGGGGGCCAGTCTGTGACCTACTTACGGCCAGTTCATAACAACATAACTAAAGAAACTAAGAGTGTTTCAAAAGGTGTATAGCAATTTGAAAGGGTGATGTTATGTCTGATAAATCTAATAATGTATAATACAAATAAATCCGAAGTCATTGTATCTGCCTCCTTTTTTCTTTTCAGTCATTCTGGACTGGAGATATGCATATAACAACAGATTCTGATTGGCCTTCTACTTTACTTCCATTTAAGGTATAAAATTTATACTGTGTAGATACTCTTAACTATAGAAAAGCATATTTTGAAAATGTAAAGCTGCCAAAGTTACCTAGCCCTAAATTAGTCTACAAAATAAGTTAAATCTCTAAAACAGTGACATGTGGGCAAATTGCCATCTATCAACTCTAATCTCTGATTTAGGGGCCCATTTTTGTGTGTTTATATATTTTTTAAAAACAACGCTGACAAGCACTTTTCACACTTAGTATATGCCCATCAGTAGACCCAGAGGAAATATCTTGATTATTTTTCCAAGAAACTGAGGAAAGTATTACACACAGAAAAACGAGAAGTGGGGAAAAATGCTTCATGAAACCCAAACTAGGGATGTTGGAAGAACAGCGTCAGCATGTTTCTCTGAATACCAGTGCAAATCTGCAATGTGAAGATATGTGCAAATCAGCTTTTATGAAAATAGATACAGGCATTACAGTTATGAGCACATTTTTATATTTCCAAAGATCTCAAGTTAATTTCTATGATGAATATCCCCATTGACATTACTTAATGGTTTAAAGCAACTTGATATTTAAAAAACCACACCTAATCAAACTTTAAATGAAATTCCTTTATCATAAAAATTATGAGCGTGGATATATAAAATATTAAAAGAAAGACATCCAAAGTAATAAAAAATAAAGACCAGAAATCCTACCAATACCATGGTTTCCAAACCAATAAGATTATAGTGTTCTCCTGTGGTGTTGTTCAGTTTCCAAAATTCCAAGTCCTAGGTAAGGCCTGGATGTGATCAAGTTTCAGACTACATATAATTTTTTCACCATAACTGTTCTGTTGGGGTTTTTTTCCTTTCTTTGAGAGCCAAAGATAACAGCCCTGACACAGTGGGGATAGTAGCAATTATTTAAGTTCCAAATAAATGCATTATTTTATTTGCTTTACTCACCTCTTTATACCCAGAGATGAAAACCTGTTTCTTCCTTTCTTATGTTGCTCTACTGATACCCTAAGCACATTTGTGGATTTGATTGTGAAATCTAAATATAACAAAAATATTCATAATTCATTCTGCCAGTACATCATGATTTCAAAATGCCCCAAATTCAAACAAACAATAATAATAAACACCATAAACAAGGACAAAAAGCAAATGTTAAATTGGGAACTCATATTACTGACAAATGGCAGTTTCACAATAAAGTAGTAATTCCTACAAATCAGTTCTTAAAAAGCTAACATTCCAGTACAAAAATAGACAAAGGATAAACCAGACAGTTCACAAAAAGAAAGTGCAAATAAGTAACTCTTTTTACAAGAGAACATCTTCAACCTTACTTATAATAAGAGAGAAATACAACTCATAGTGAAATCATTCTTTCTCTAACAGATTGTCGGAAAGTGTTAACACACTGTATTGGGAAAGTTGAGGGTAAATCGAGCATTCTCATGTACTACTCTTGGGAATGTAAAGTGGCACCAACTCTACGGAGAAAATCTGGTCATTTTTATTAAAATTAGAAATACAGACCCAAAAGGACATTATTAGGTCAAATGACAAATTTGGAATATGGATAGTATATTGTAGAGAAATACATTGTACCCATGTTAAATTTATTAAAATTCATAACTTACAATGGTTATAAAAAAAGAATGCCCTTATTTTCAGGAAATACACATGCATTTAGGAGAAAAGGGCCATAATATATTCAACTCATTTATAGGATTTACAGTTATTCTTTATACGATTTTTACATTTTTTGTTTTTGTGTTTTTGTTAATTCTTACCCAGGGATATTTTTCCATTGGTTTTTTTTTTTAAATATATTTTATTGATTTTTTACAGAGAGGAAGTGAGAGAGATAGAGAGTTAGAAACATCGATGAGAGAGAAACATCAATCAGCTGCCTCCTACACACCTCCCACTGGGGATGTGCCCACAACCAAGGCACATGCCCCCGACCGGAATCAAACCTGGGACCTTTCAGTCCGCAGGCCGACGCTCTATCCACTGAGCCAAACCGGTTAGGGCTCCATTGGTTTTTAAAGAGTGGAAGGGAGGGGGAGAGATAGAGAGAGAAACATCGATGTGAGAGAGACACATTTATTGCTTGCCTCCAAGGCTCGTGCCCTTGACCAAAATTGAACCAGGAACCCTTCAATACTCAGGCTGACACTTATCTACTGAGCCAAACCAGCTAGGGCTATTCTTACTCTTGCCACTTTCTTTTTTGTTTTTGTTGTTTGTTTGTTTGTTTGTTTGTTTTTTCAATCTTTTATTGTTGAAAGTATGCCATATGTCTCCATTTTTTTCTGATTCACCCCTTATAGTCTGCCCCCCAGGCCCCTGCCCCAGGCCTTCACTACCCTATTGTCTGTGTCCATGGGTTATGCACATATGCATACAAGTTCTTTGGTTGATCTCTCCCCCCACACACACACCCACTTTCCCTCTGAGATTCCACAGTCTGTTCCATGCTTCTATGTCTCTAGATCTATTTTGTTCATCAGTTTATTTTATTCATTAGATTCCACATATGAGTGAGATCATGTGATACTTGTCTTTCTCTGGCTGGTTTATTTCACTTAGCATAATACTCTCTAGGTCCCTCCATGCTGTCTCAAAGGGTAAGAGAGTCTTCTTTTTTACTGCAGCATAGTATTCCATGACGTAAATGTACCAGTTTTTTTATCTACTAACTAGAGGCCTGGTGCACGAAATTCATGCACAGGTAGGGTTCCTAGGCCTGGCCAGCATCAGGGCCAATCGGGGCCTTCCTTCTGCCTTCCGGCGGGGTCTCCCTTCCCTGACTGCCGGCCCAGGCCTTCCTTCCTTCCGTGCCGCCCCTGGTGGTCAGTGCACGTCATAGTGAGCAACCGAACTCCCGGTCTCCTGGCCAAACTCCCAAGGGAACAATTTGCATATTAGGCTTTTATATATATATACACACTAGAGGCCCGGTGCACAAAATTCGTGCATGGGGGGGTGCTCCTCAGCTTGGCCTGCACCCTCTCCAACCCAGGACCCCTCGGGGGATGTCCGACTGCAGGTTTAGGCCCAATCCCACCGGCAGTCAGACATCCCTCTCACAATCCGGGACCACTGGCTCCTAACCACTCACCTGCCTGCCTGCCTGATTGCCCCCTAACTGCCCTCCCCTGCCGGCCTGATTGCCCCTAACCACCTCTGCCTTGGCCCCCGCCACCGTGACTTTGTCCAGAAGGATGTCTGGAAGATATCTGGTCTAATTAGCATATTACCCTTTTATTAGTATAGATATAGATGAGCACTTGGGCTGTTTCCAGATCTTAGTTATTGCAAATTGTGCTACTATGACCAGAAGGGTGAATACATTCTTTCTGATTGGTGTTTCCGGTCTCTTAGGATATATTTCTATAAGTGGGATCACTGGGTCAAATGGCAGTCCCATATTTAATTTTTTGAGGAAACTCCATACTGTTTTCCATAATGGCTACATCAGTCTGCATTCCCACCAGCAGTATACTAGGGTTCCCTTTTTCCACATCCTCGCCAGCACTTGTTATTTGTTGATTTGTTGGTGGTAGCCATTCTGACAGGTGTGAGGTCAGACCTCATTGTTGTTTTAGTTTGCAACCCTGATAATCAGTGACTTTGAGCATTTTTTTCATATGTCACTTGGCCATCTGCATGTCCACTTTGGAGAAGTGTCTATTTAGGTCCTTTGCCCATTTTTTAATTGGCTTGTCTTCGTTGTGTTAAGTTTTATGCGTTCCTTATATATTTTGAATATTAACCCTTTATCAGATGTATCATTGCCAAATATGTTCTCTTATACAGTGGGCTTCCTTTTCATTTTGTTGACAGTTTCTTTTGCTGTGTGGAAGCTTTGTATTTTGATATTGTCCTTATTTTCTCCTTAGTTTCCTTTGCTTTAGGAGATGTATTCGCAAACATATTGCTACAAGAGATGTCTGAGATTTTTCTGCCTAAGGTTTCTTCTAGGATTTTTATGGTTTCAAGACTTATTTTAAATCTTTTATCCATTTGGAGTTTATTCTTGTGTATGATGTAAGTTGGTGGTTTCGTTTCATTTTTTTGCATATATCTGTCCAATTTTCTTAACACCATTTATTAAAGAGACTGTCTTGACTCTATTGCTTGCTCTTGCCTCCTTTGTCAAATACTAATTGAGTGTAATGGCTTGGTTTGATTTCTGGGGTCTCTGTTCTGTTCCATTGATCTATATCTCTGTTCTTGTACCAGTACCAGGCTGTTTTGATTACAGTGGCTTTGTAGTATAACTTGATATCTGGTATTATAATCCCTCAAACGTTGTTCTTCTTTCTCAAGAAGATTGCTGTTATTCAGGGTCATTTTTGGTTCCATATAAGTTTTTGGAGTATTTGTTTTAGATCTGTGAAATATGCCATTGGTAATTTAATAGGGACTGCATTGAACCTACTGATTACTTTGGGTAGTATGGGCATTTTAATGATGTTAGTTCTACCAATCCATGAACGAAATGTTCTTCCACTTGTTTATATCTTCCTCTATCTCTTTTTTCAACGTCCTGTAGTTTTCTGAGTGCAACTTTATTTCTAATAAAAAGTTTCTCAAAGTATGAAGAAAACATATATCCTCTGACTCAGAATTTTCACTTTTAGGGAATGTACCTAACAAATTTACCAACATATGTTAATAATTTATATGCATAAAAATTCTTTATAACATTGCTTGTAACAGCAAAAGATGTTTGCCAAGGACAGATAACCTTCTCCATCCCCTTAATCTTGGCTTCGCTGAGACACACTTGGCTCCAGGGTCACAGAAAGTCCCACTCCTGACTTTTCCAGCGTGCCGCCCTCCAGGGACCGTTTGGGTTATTCTCATGTTTGGCTTTGTCTTCCTGGGGCTCTGTTTCCTCAGTCAGATCTAAACCCGATTCTCTGGTTGTGTTGGTTAGGAGAGGAAAGTGAAATTAGGTGCTGATACCTATGCTCCACTTCACAGCTTCCTCCTTAGTGTCTCCTTGTCAGCAAACATCACCTGAGGTCATTCATCGATGGGTGCCAGACGTGACTGAGTGAATGAATAAAGAGAGGTTTGAAGCTACCACAACTTTCATAAAATTTATTGGCCAGGCTGTACTTTGTCTTTACCATTTGCATTAGTTTTATTTTCCATCATAATTACATTTCTAAAATTAGAGTAGACTGTTAACAAGAAGCCCTATTAGGCCAATGGTCTGAATAAACAAAGTTTGTATGTAAATGTTTTACCTTCAGGTAGCAATATGCATTTATTTTATTATTTACATAACTTCAGTTACTTTACATACTTTTGTGTTTATCATTTCTTTGGTGAATTATCTGTTCATGTCCTTTACTTATTTTTGTTTTGGGATGACAGTCTTTATGAAAACTATAACTTAGGATGATGATGACATCAAATCCAACATCTGTCCTTTCTGAAAAAGTAGCCCCTCAAATGTCAATAATTTGGCTCAGCTCCCCCTTCCCTTCCTTCTCTCCTTGCAGTACAATAGGAAGGGCATTAGATTTGGAGTCCTAAGACATAGGGTCATTGCTGAGTCTCTGGGACTTACTTACCCATAAAGTGAAGGGGCTGGATTAATTGGTCAGGAAGGCTCTAAAAGTCTAAAATTTTTCCCATCTATTCATTTTTTTCTACTCTCTCAATCATGACCAGCCCCATTCTACCTATGATGGCAAGATGATTGCATTGTGAATTAATTATGGGATGTTTTATTTGGTAGCCATAAATCAGTGGTCACGTTAAAATAAAAAAGAAGCCCTGGCCAGTAGGGTTCAGTTGGTTGGGCATTGTCCTGTGCATGGAAAGGTTGACAATTCGATTTCTGGTCAGGGCACATGCCCAGGTTGTGGGCTCGATCCCCAGTAGGGAGCATCCAGGAGGCAGCAGATCGATGCTTCACTATTACATCAATGTTTCTCTCTTTCTCCCTTTCACTTCTCCCTCTCTTAAAAAAAAAGAAGAAGAAGAAGAAGAAGAAGTGTAGAGAAAACAAATGATCCTTCATGTCATGTAGAATCTTAGCTAAGATTCTACAATCTCAGGGTCAGACTTTGGCTCTTTTGAGGATGTTAGTGACATTATTGCAAATAAATAGCTTCAAAGCAAATAACCAAATATTGACTAACCAACATAAGCCAGTCACAATGGCTTTGATCCTCCCACTTTTTTTACCAATCCTCTTCAATATTCTGATTTCCACACAATTGCACTAGGCCAACATTCTTCCAAAAGATAAAATTAAATAATCAACATGTGCATTGCTAAAGCAATCTGGCTTAAAATGTTTTAGTTTTATCTTCAAAGGCCCACTTACTTTTTGTTGTTGTTGTTGTTAATCCTTACCTGAGGATATTTTTCCTTTGATTTTTAGGTAGAGTATAGGGAGGAGGAGAGACAGAAAGAGAGAAACATCGATGTGAGAGACATATCAATTGGTTGCCTCCTACACAGACACGACCAGGGCTGAGGATCGAGCTTGGAACCAAGGTATGTGCCCTTGACCGGAATCGAACCCAGGACCCTTCAGAAGGGCCAATGCTCTATCCACTGAGCCAAATTGGCCAGGGCAGGCCCACTTACTTTCAGTTTCCTAGCATCCCCCATCCTCCATCTGCCATTTTCTTAGAGACACTCAAATTTTTCTTTAAAAGATCTGCCCACCCCCAAAAAATTAAGTATAAATTTATTTTACAAATGGTGAGGTAAGAATTCACTCAAAATTCTATTACCATCCTAATGCAACTCTTTTGTTTTTCTCTATTCTCTTCATCCTTATTCACATTCATGCACATTTTTAGTCATAGTCATGTGGTATTTCCTGCTCTTTTCATCATCAAACATTTTCCATGCAGCTACATGTTACTCGTTATCATTTGTAGTTGAAACAATTCATAAAGTAGACATTCACTATTTATGAGACCATTATTTATTTGATCATATTGGAGATGGGGGACATTTAAGTTGCCTCCAAAGTTTTACTTTCTTACACAAAGGTATAGTGAGGATCATCATGCATATATAGCTTCTTCTTCTTATGAGTCATCAGGCAACCTCCTAAGGAGTGAGATTCTAGGTGAAGAGGTGTGACTGTACTTCACAGTAAGTACTATAAAACACCTAAGTGTGATACTAAAATGATATTATAGGATATGAAAAGCATTCCTTTTTCATGGATGTAGAAGGTAAAAGGTCTCTAAAGTAGTGTGACAAATCAAATAGCCCTTTCAGCCCCTTGATTCCTTACTGCTTAGGGCACAATAAGCAAACATTCTACTACGGTCTTTTCATCTGGTGATAGGAGGATAAAACTAAAACACTCTTTTTAGGTTTCAGTAAAAAAAAAGTTTGTAAGTTTCATGACCCTACTTTAAAAGTGTCTCTCAGATTTCTAGGCATGACGGTACTTATTTTTGTTCAAATATACAATAATTCTTTTTCTCAAGACCTGACTCCTCTCTAGACATCTTATGACTCATAGTCATAAATGAATGAATAAATTAATGACATTAATAATGAATAAAGGCCCTGGCCGGTGTGGCTGTCGGTTGGCACATCGACCCTTATACCAAGAAGGTGGCAGGTTCGATTCCCGGTCAGGCACATACCCAGGTTGTGAGTTCGATTCCCAGTAGGGCACATATAAGAGACAACAGATCAATGTTTCTTTCTCACATCGATGTTTCTCTTTCTCTACCCCCCTCCCTGTTCCTGTCTATAAATATCAATTAAAAATGTTTTAATAAATAAGTTTTTAAAAGAACAAGGGAGCAACCAGACAAATGACTTCAAAGGTACATAAAAAATATTTTCTTACTATTTACTTACTTATTTCTTACTATTAACAGCAAGAAATAATGCCAACCAATCCTATTCATTCTGTAACATCTTGATTATTAACTACTTTCCCCTCTTTTTATCATTACTAATATATGATACATCTTTTAATTCATACACAAAATGGAGACATAGAAAGCCTCCCACCTTCCAACAACAACAAAACCCACGGCTATGGTATGATAAACATAAGAAAACGCCTGAAAAAAAACCCAAAAACACAAAATCAAATAGGATCCACTACATATAGGCTTTTGCAACTTGTATTTTATGTAGCTTTTAAATATATACATTTCATTATGAAATATTTACAGCATACAGAAAATTATAGGAAGTCACCAACCAGCTTTGTCTAATCTTAACCTTTTGCAATATTTGCTTTAAATTTTTAAAAGTAAATCAAAGAGTGGAAGCCCCTTGTGTGGCCCCATTCTCTATTCCCCTCCCTCTCTTCATAGAAATAAACTACATCCTGAATTGGCTATGCATCATTTCCAGGCATGTTTTTATATTTTTACTACACAAGTATGTCCCAATAAAAGATATTTACCTTATGTTTTCAATTCTAAGATCATATTTTGTTCACATTATAATATCTCTAAAATTGAGATACATCTTACAATCCATAATAAAGCATTACATCACAACTTTATCTGCAGGTTTTCCCTTTTTCTTGGGGTACATAAAATAATGGTGCATCTAATACCATAGTGTTTTAGAGTCTATGAAACGTGGTAACACTGTTTTACACATATTAGACATTCTACAGCTTCATATTTTCACTCAATACTATATTCTTGATATGTACCAATGTTGTTACATGTATGTAACATCTTTAAATGTCTTAATTCACCATTATATACCATAGGATTAGGAGTCCACAGGATAAGGAGGAAATCCTATGCTTACTAGTGGAAACGGTAACCATTATGTTCAAATGTGTGTGCTTGACTAAAATAAAGCGGAGTAACAAACAAGATGGAAATAAGGGGTGGGGGGAGGAAGGAAAGAAGAAAAACAAAAGCTGCTTGCTTGATTTGTAAGGAGCTGGGGACAGCATACATCTGAATAACTAAACATGACAACTCAGGAATAAATATGATGACAGGAGGAACTGTTTTCAGGAAATCTGTGCTGTTGCTACTCCCGAGCCCAGCGGAGACGCAACCTGCTCGTGTCAGCCCAGCAGGCACCAAGACCACAGATCCTGCCTTTACAGAGCCAGCTCCTCTCACTAAAGTGGGCTGAACACCAGCATCAAGAGTGGGCAGGCTGCAGTGACGGAGACGGAGGAGAGACAAAGAAGTGGCATTTACACATCCTCAACTGAGACTGCAGCTTCGGTCTTTGTTTCTTCTGATTCTGCTCCTCCCTCTCCTGCCACTTCCCCTCATCTCTCCACTCCCCTCTCCTTACTCATTTACATTTCTCTTGCTAGTCTTTAGTTGAGGACGTCCATTTCAAAGACCTATGTCTACTGTCTGTCTGCCTGCTCTCCTACACACACACACACACACACACACACACGCCATAGTAACTCCTCAGTACTAGATTTTACTGGTGGTACATAAGAAAATTTCCATTACTGGTTCCTAAAACCAAACTCTGGTTTTAGCTTATGGGGTGTTAAAAAAGGCAAGAAAATGATAGAACTATAGCTCCTAATAACATTTTCTGTTCTCCTTCCATTTTTACTAAAAATACTTTGCTGGAGGCAGATTTTTTTTAAAGGGCATCCATAGGTGGGTTTGGGTTTTTTTGTTGTTTTTTTTTACAAATACACACTGAACCTTACATTTCAGAATCAGAGGACATATTGTGATTACTGTTATAGGAATGCATTATTCATTAATTCTTATATGTGTATTTTGCCTCTACCTCCGTTTAACCATAAGCCAATTGGGAAAAAATGATACTGCTTTCCTTATCTAATACCAGTTAACAGAGAAATGCCCATATCAAGCATATTTTTTATTGATTTTATAGAAAGGGGGGAGAGGGAGAGAGAGAGAGAGAAACATCGATATGAGAGAGAAACATTAATTGGTTGCCTCCCATACATACCTCAACTGGGATCAAATCCACAACCTAGGTATGTGCCCTGACCTGGAATTGAACCTGCAACCCTTTGGTACAGAGGACCAACGGAGCCATCTGGCCAGGGTTTAAGCATATTTTTTAAAGAAATAGAAGTATAACCAAATTAATTCACAAAAGTAACTGTAAAAGAAAAATAGAATTCCTAAATTAATTTATTAATAAACTTTATCTTTAACAAAGGTAATATTTTAAACTCTGGTGTATTATATTTAATATAGGGTAATAGAACCAAACAGCCCCAAGCCATTTCATTGCTTTGCTTTCTCCAAAACATTACTGTAAAC